TTATACTACAACTCTAAACCAGCAAACAATTCAACGGTATTAAAACGTCACCTGTCACCATAGGCATAAAAATTTTGAAAAAATAACAATTAAATCAAAAATGTTCATCACTTACCCTCGATGTAATACTGTTCGGCTACCAAAATATGTGGAGATCCTGACCGACTTTGACTTGCAAAGAAGCGCACAGAGTTAAGATTTATCTAATTCGCGCAGGAATCGCAACACATCGGTTTCGTACTTCGGTAAGGTTAGGATTGTTGCTAAATGATTCTCAGCCTCCGGCCAATCCGGTAACTCTTGAGTGCAAAAAACTGACCAATACCACTCGTCCAACCGGTTTACATCAATTTTCTTCCAATAGCAAACCCTGCTTACGCGAGTGGTAATACCATCTGGGTCTAGGTCAACAAAAAGTGGGATATCCATGAAATCAGCTACGTACACTAAGGACTGTTGAATACTTCTTTCCTCTTCCAAAGTTAATGTTGTTACTAGTAGCGCAGACCATGCATAGACCAAATGGTATATTGTCTGTGCGAGTAACCTAATACTGCCCATTATTTTTGTAAATCATGGTATATTTAAGGTTCCTAGAAGGTTGAGTAATTTGTACAGATAGATAATTAAAACACAAATTATATATTTTTTCCATTCTTCTGTATAAAATGTATGTTATAGTTTTATATTTTATTGCATAAACCTGATGAATTAGTTGAATTATTGTCACTCAAACAGACGATTGATTTAACTATTATTGGATGTGTTTTTTTTTTTTTTTTTTGTGAAACTGAGTAACCTTATTTATGTAAGTATGTATACTAAATGACATTTTTATTTAATTTTAATTTCTCTGCAAAAAGGTCCTTCCAACCTAGTATTTTAGGTAATTTTTAGTATTTTAGTAGTTCAAATCTAGGTCCGTTGCTATATTTGCTTGTTTAGATTATGGATTACTGTACCTATCATAACATGTCCTGTTTGATTGGAATTTGTTCAACGAGTATTTATCTCGAAAATTCCAGCACAGCAACACTGTAATTTTTTGAGAAGCTCTCATGATGTGGCCTAACCCACAATATCACATGGCAAATAGAATTTAAGTCTAGAAATCACTGTACTTATGTGTTTACATCATTTCCCGATTTTTCATTATAATTCATGCGTAAGTAAAATCAATATTCGTCCTACGTCTTTTCAAATAAGATTAACTGTAAATCTTTAATTTATAATAAACGTAGGTCTAATCGTTCCACGGAGGCGAATAGGTTTACGGATCTTGAGTAGAGATCCGAGCAATAACACGTTTATTTGGAGCCCGCGCGGTGTTTTTGCACGGGTCAACAAGGCCTCTCTGGAAATTGTTCCAAGGTCAGACTGACTACGGAAGCATTGCCTTCCCCGTATGTGATGAAAATAAACCCACTTATTTACAATGGAGCTGGTAACTTGAGTTGGTAAGTTGTAACTTTCTTAGTATGACACTAGGACTAGGGCACTAGGAGTAGGACACTAGCTTCATAGTTTTATCGTTGGATAGTAATTATTATAAGTTATTTAAATTAATAAGCAATGTTGATATACTATTAAGATTTTAAATATTGATCGTTATGTAAACGTAAGAATATGACTTTGTCAAATTATTTGCTTAACAAATTTATCGGTTGTTTTTCTAAAATGTATGTTATCTATCCAAATGGTTATAAAGGGGAGAGGCTAATCCAGTTTTTTAAGTTCGTGTCGTTTTGTCCAGGCGTCCCGGGTTAAAATCCCGCAAATCACCAACAGCTGTTAGAAATGTGCTGTTTTGTATAGAACCTTCAACATATACCTACACGGTAATTACATTTCTTTACGTAAATATTGCATATAGTGGAAGAACGGAAATAGAATTGTTACATTGGGAACACCAATGGTGAAAAATCTCTGAAAATAATCGAATTCCCTAAAAATCTCAACAAACCATCGACATTACTGGCTAAGGGCAGGTAGCAGGTTTGTGGTAACGTACTGTCGAGGTGTTTGTAGTGATAAATGGAAAACATGGCTGTAATCTGAGGTGTGGAGACTGCGAAGAATATAAACGACTGTCCAACATCTAGATTAGGCTACATGGTACAGAGATGTTGGTCCTCCTACGAGCACGCTAAAACTGCCGCGAAGATGAACCGGTTAGTCTTTATGTTAACTACGCCAATAGACTATTGAATTTGAAACAATTATTAACAATGATATTATAAATAATATAAAATGTGCATTGTATCAGCTATGAGTTAATGAAATTCCATTAGTGTACAATGGGCTTAGAAATTAGTAAGATTTCTTTAGTAGCTTTTGACTAAGTCCATACGTTTTTAAAGACACGATCCTTTATTAAAAGCCTAATAATCGAGAATAGCTGGGACCGAGTTTGAAACCACCAAAAAGCTATTGACTCTTCCCCAAAGACCGGCTACACAGTAATTACACTTAATATATTTTAATTCGCCTTTCAGTTTCTCATTTGAGTTAGCTAACTGACCACCACAATGATAAGTTGTGATAAAGAAACATATCCTGACTATTTCATGTTAATGTAATCTTTTTATTAACATAAATAATTTTCATACAGTGAGTAAGTCTCATTAAAATATAATACTTTGGTTAATCTAGCGATCTAACCATTACATCAGATATCTCCGATATTGTGTTTTACAAGGCTGAAGGATCAAGATTGAATCCTGATGTGTTTTGTTTAGAAACGCACTGGTGGGATGGGAAGTTGTTAATCATTAGCATACCCGAGGGATTTACATGCGAAGTGTTTGTTAAATTACTTGCGGATCAGGATTGCGAAGTGAGTGGGAAATAGACACTTGCTATAAAAAGCCAACCTTCAAACAACGTGAGCGTTCGAACTAGTTTTTTTTTATGTAGATAAATCGTTTGTATTCCTTGTTTTAAATTCGAATTGAATTTTTTCATTTATTTATCAACTATGCAAAACCATTTATGAACTATGCCATAAAGTAGTATAAAAAGTTTTAAATCAACATATATAAAAATATTTTAAATTTGTATGTGTTTTTTATATAACTACTAGCAGAGTACCCGTCCTTCGTACGGGGTTGGAATATAAGTATAAAATGCTTATTGCAGTAATACTCAAGCTTTGCGTTTGCAATAAGGGAGGACACAGTTTGATAAAATTTGCTTTTTTTAAATTTACAGTATTCTATAGTATTACACACCTACCATATCCATAATGTTATACCACTTCACCTAAACAATAGAAAAACATAAATTATCAACAATTCGCAAAATTTCACAAATTATTCATGAAATGAAAAACATAAGCATAACTGTAAACAATCCTACTTTGACAGTTCTCATTGCGAATCACAGTTTTTTGTTGCTGCTTAGTTCAAATTAGCTGTTTTCATAAATGCAAAAAAAATATAGTGCTGCACTCTGTTGGTATATCTTACAACTTTTTAATACTTTTCCATATCATAGAACAAACTTTTTTAGTTGAAACAGCTGACTAAATTCTTTAATTCCCTTTAAATATGAATACTCATAAGGTTAACAGGGGGAATTACAGAGCCACTGGGGCGGAGCCCGAAAGGACTTTTGAGATAAGAATATGCCTATATGTTAATCGGGAATGTAAGCTATCATCATGCCAAATTTCAGCCCAATCCGTCCAGTGATTTATGCGTGATTGAACTTCAACCAAACAAACAAAAAAACACACAAACTTTCACATTTATAATATTAGTAAGATAATAAATTATTTATAATTGATAACATTTTTATATACGAGTTCAACAAACTCTTCTACGTAGTCAGGAAGTTTGTTAGGTAATTGGTAATGACATTTACAATATGTAAGAGTACTACATATGATTTTGATTTATACTTATATTATAAAAGTAATAATAAGTGTTACGCAGACCTACTAAATACATAAATTTAATTTACAAATATACTAATGTAATTAAAGTTATATTTTAGTATTGAAGGCTGAATACACCATCTAATTTTAAATTGAAATAGAATTTCTTTATTTACTGACCTACTATCCTGTACAAATTTATTTAATGAAGCAATTAAGTAGTGCAATGCCAAAAGTCGTAATCCAACATATAAATTACAAGTTTTGAATTGAATTAATCTGTGAATTTCGAAGATCAACAATCTCTTCAGCATATGGGGGAAGTGGAGAAGGTAATTTGGACCAACATTGTCGTCATTTCAAATTCCATAAACAATTTTGATTTATATTCAAATAATATATTAGAAGCAAGAATATAATATATTTGAGAATAGCATTGATAGGTGTAGAGCTGACTTATCGTAATGAATAGATATATTTAAATGTATGTTAAAAAAGCTGATTTACTAGTTGCAGTAAACCTACACTGCTCCTACACGAATGCCTTTAGCCTAATAAAATTGTATGAACATGACTGATAGTTCATACTTATGATATAAAAACTAAAACTTATCAAACATAATTTTCAATTATATGTTTGCTACTTGGAGTAGAACTTGAACCAATAAAATAACAAAATGTTTCATATTTTATAAAGATAATGTTCATAAACTGGCAACCTACATAAATTACTTACGCTCCTTAAAGGTACATGGGGAAACAACGTAATGAGTTAGGTGCTAAATTCATTATTAAGACAGTAATATTACTATTATTGGCAATTTTAAGTTGGCAATCAATAGGTGTAACACGTTAAGCTGACTGCCTTTTAAAACTGAATTTAATCGTGGAGCAACTTACGGTTTACAGTGAAAACAATAAAATTATTTTTACAAATTAATTCAGTTATATGTTTTGTTATCTTAGGACTTAATTATTGGATTCCTTATCGTTTAGGAAATATAATAAAGAGCTATTTACATCCTAAATTATTGACATATTTATTTAATGTAATAAACATAACATATTTTTATACACCAATAATTAATAGATTGTCCTAAAAAAATTAACCTAAAGTACTTACCATTTACAAAGATAAATCCTGAAATATTTCTAAACGTAACAGCAATTTTTGAAGAACTATAGATTGTTAATCACTCGCGCTGTCAAATACAGAGCCGAGGACAGTTAGAGACTAGAGACTGAGTAGAGACAACGAGGGACAGAACCAGACTGAAGACAGAGTGAGGTAAGCAGGACTGCCTCAACAATGACCTTGACTGTGACCTTGATATGGGGGTTGATAAGTGCTACGCTATCTGATAACATGGTGCTTGAAGTTATGTTTCAATAGTCCTATCGCGATCCTGGATGGTAGTGTAGGTTGGGTTTTGATTATAAAACTTCAGCGAAATTGTTCATTCAAGTCTCATTGAAATCAGTGTTAGGTTTGTTGGGTGATCTTTCGTTTTGGCGTGAAAATATATTAAATATATACCTAAGAGGTTTCAATTTTTTAAAGGCTTATTGAGTTACTGTTTAACGGCAAAGTATAGTGTGATGAGGATCTTAAAAATATTTTATTTTTTTTACTAAAACCAATTTTGATATGTGTTGTAATCAGTTGGTTTATGTGAATGCCTACATAGTAAAACTAATAATGTTCGAAAATAGGGTATGGAGTTGGGGATTATAGAAGAAAAAAATAATGTAGCCTACACACAAACCCCTACAGAGTTTTTGTAAAAAAAACCTTACTTTTAAATTTTATTTATTTTACACTGCCATAAAGCTAATTCAAATAGGTAAATTTGTAAAAGTAAGTAATTTGTATTTTTAAATTAATTCAATAGTTATTCCATTGGTAGTATTATATAATACAAAGTATTACATTCAACAGTTCAATTGTTTTCTACAATAGTTTAAAAGAATTACATAACTCACGAAATAGTTGTAAACCTACTAGTGTCTCGTATTACTGTTTAACAATCTCAAGTGAAAAACAACATAACATTTTCATAAATTATTTTACTTGTTTATTATGAAAAGAAAACGATATTGAATTGCTCTCAAGAGTGGTTAGATATGAATACCAAATTAGAATCTCATGTGTTCAATTTTTAAATGAGACAAGAATATCAACAGTCAGTTTTCCTGATACTCATGTATGCAAGATTGTATGGAGTACATAATATGGAGTACATAATAAGTAATAAATATTAACTTTATTGAACTGTGTAGCCAATGAGATTATGACGTCTAATTGAATATTCAGTTTCAAATAACAACGAAACGATTTTCCAATCATAACTCTACAAGATCATCGGTAAAAACCAATAGCAAGCTCATTTTTCATTTTACTTTGTGGTTTTTGATTATAGTAAATTCTTATTAATATTGCATGATAATGTTTCGTAAACACTATTCTAGCTGACAAAAATATTAACTTAGTAATACATATAGGCTATATTCATTGTATGAATGCTTGCTATATTTGTGCAGTCTTACACTAATACGTCAAACACATTGTTGTCACCACATTAGCCTTGCCACAGAGAAAGAGAATATAGATGTATTGTCATTATCTATGGCTGTATATATAGATGAGAGCTGAGTGAGTTTGTTTACAGTCACGTGTAAAATTTACCTTATTTATGAAAAAAGATTCTAGCCCTGAAAGTTTTAATGATGGACATTTCCTCTTTGTTGTCCTCAATAAATTCATTGAAAAACTCCAAGGTCTATTGTCAACAAAAAAGATTAATTACAGGGTTCACGAGTTCAGGAAGTTGTAGCCTTACTAAGTGGTTTGTCAATAGTTGTTACCTACTAATGTATTTACGATGTCTAAGGTTATCACACTTACACACCTTGCCGCCTTCTAAAATTATTGCTCATAACAATATATAACTACGAATTAAAACACTGAAAAATAATTTATAATTATTAGGTAAAAGTTTAAGTTCCTTTCTCAATAGTGAGGGGACAAAACTAACAAGTCAATAAATACTGTAAGACGCATAGAAAATGTTTGAAGCCCTCTTTTATAATTCCAAAACTATATTGAACTTGGGTGGACGTAACTAGGTGACGACAGAGCTGAGTGTAATGTTGTCTTTTCGATGTTGTCACCACTTTAACACTCAGCGCGTTAGCACACGTCAAATAAACGTTGGCCAACAACACTGCTTGAGTGACTATGGACTTGAGCTGAATTACACAACCGTGGAGCTGTGGGCCTTTGACTGTACCAATAGATCTATTATTAGTGTTTTTGGCTGTAACAGTAGATTACTGAGTGCTTTGTCTATAATAGAAGATTTTTCGTTGTAGTTATTTGAGTGGAGCATTGTAATACCTATTGTACTGTGAAAGATGATACATTGTGCAACGCGTAGCCCACACCTTCATATCTTTACCATTGACAACAGATTTAACAGTTGTATCGTATTTTGGTTTTTTAAAGCTTTGGAGAGATGTTGCAAGATAGTTTTGACATGCCAAAAAACATCTGACAAGTTGCAATGTTTAAAGTACGAACAATAGAATAGGTAAAAAAACAATCATAAGTTTCTAGTTGCCCAGTATGTCAAATTGTGTTTGCCCGTTTTTTAGATCGTCATCTGAAACTGTACTTTAGGTCATTGAAACGTAATTGCTCAAATTTACGTAAGGTTAGGTCAGAAAGCATTGACGGGATTGATAAGCTTTAATTTATACTGTTTCAAAACACAATACCATCTTAAATACTGGTATAATTTATATATTATAATAATTTCATTTTTTACCTCTGTAAATAATTAATCAAATGTTATTGGGACTTGTGAGGCCTAGTCAAGCTACAATTTACTTAGCAGTATGTGTGCTATAATATTTTAAAACTACGATTTCGTAAAAAAAAAGGAAGAATAGTTAAAGTAACTGTTTTTTCTAACTGTTCCAAGTTGAACGACCGGTATCAGAAGCTGATTGTATCAATATGTCTATTATCGTTAGGCCAATCCTTTCAACCTTCCCGTCAAACAACAACCCAATGAGAACGGATTTACTGTTCAGAGTTTGAATCACAGTTTAGCGAGGGGATATTATTCCTTATTTAGTTTCAAATTGCGTTTGAATGTATTACCTGTGTACATAATCCTTAAACAAATGCTATAATATTTTTTGGCCGACATAAATTAGTGAATTTTTACCCGTGGTAGTTCGCACAGGAAAAAACCATTTTTAACTGTAAGTAGGTTAAAGGACAAGCCCTGACTCGTATGTTGCATAGCTAAGTAGCGGTTGATTTTTGGGTTATTTGTAAAACAAGTACTTTAGATTGTTCTACCTTACAGAGAAGACAAAAAAATACCATATTTTGGTACAAGTTGTTATTAAAAATAAGGGTTATCAATAACCATCTGGTAAGGTACAACAATCTATGCAAGTAGTTTAGTTTAGTAAAAAAATACAGTTATAAGTTAGATGCAAAATGTAAACAAATTCATAATTCATTCACTTTCGAACCTATTATTTTATTAGTAATCAGGTTGGGTTCTATACTGATATTTTTGATATTTAATTTATGTTAACGCTGCAAGAGCTACACTTTTTACACAATCAATTATCGTTATATTAATGGGGAATCATTCTAGTTACATAATACAGAAATACCATTACTGGTGTTCAGGACCTACTTCAACACGCAGATTGCCCTATCTAGAAAACAAAAAGTATATGTCGTTCTGGCGAGGAAATTTTTTCAGGTGATCTTTCTCCAGCAACAATTATTTACACACTAACTAACACTATTGAATATTGTGTTGTGGTTTCTCTAGACAGATCATATTTTATGTTTTAGGTAGATAAGCGTATATTTAATCCCTAATTTCAGCGTGTCGTAACACTTCGGCCCAAGTAACACTTCGGCCCAGTAACATTTCGGCCCGAAACCCTCAGATGTGGCCTACGGTCCAACTCTCTACCTGCCCACTAGTAACACTTCGTCCCAACAAAATATTTGACAGGTTAGGTTAGCTTAGCTTAGGTTAGGTTAGGTTAGGTAAGATTCCACCAATTCTCCGTCATGTGAGGTCAGAGGATGCAAGGGGTGATGGTTGGGCGACATTCCACCAGAGGGTGGTTGCAAAGTATACAGGTCATGTACCTCTTACTACCTGAACTGCGTTCCTCAACCCTTGTCAATTTTTCGTCGGGCCGAAATGTTACTCCATTAGCTTATTTAATCATCTGTAAAAGCGAGTGGGACGAAGTGATACTGTTTTTCTAAGAAATTTGAGTTTGGCCGAAATGTTACTGGGCCGAAGTGTTACTACATCAATTTCAGGGCTTGGAACGAAAAATTGCATAATGCATCAGCAATTTACGTCTCCATAGTAGAAAAGTAGGAAAACCAATTTTTCCGTACAGTTATGTTCAAACAATACCCAAACAGCTAACCGAGACAATCAAACCAACCCAATTAATTGTAAACACGAAATTGTTTTTAGAGTTAATTTTTAAGTGTTAAGGAATTCAAGTCTATTCTCCATCTATATACTACAATTTCTTTGTGCAAAGCTCGTTTCCCATTTTCCTCAGGCTCTTGTTTGTGGGATTCACATTTTCCTCGGAACACCGGAAAACAGATTAACCCTTGGATAATGTCTGCATGACTGTTACCTCTTGTTTTTGCAAAAGGAATATCCAAATCTTTGGGGAAACAATATAGGAAGTGACCGAAATAATGCTGAATCATGCCACACTCTGGGCGTTTATAAATGCTATGGTCTAAATATCCTGAAGAATGACATATTTGTGTGATGTTTTCGTACAGCCAAGGTCTTGGTTCTGCAATGTCACGGTGACGCTCTACTTTTGCCACCCCTGAAGGTGAAAGGGGTGATCTCGACCTTGCTTGTACTCGTCTAGTCGTTCAATTCCTGAACATTTGAGCTAGCAAAATACTAAGTCTCGTGGTGAAAGTGACATAGTCCTTTGTTCCGTATACGTAGTTGGACAGCTGGGTGTTTATAAAAGTCTCCTAACAATCAATAATCAAATGTTTATTTTTAGTTTGACAAAATACACTGCATGTAGAAAAGTCACAAGGGTGCAATTCTGGTTCACATTAGTCAAGAAGGATACAAGTGGATTTGACATATACAGAGAAAAATATGCAGATGAGGGTGAATAAAAAGATCGCCGGTTTCTTCTGAAAAGTCTATGGGGTTAGGT